GTGCAAGTTGTGTTTTAATATATATATATATATATATTTAACTGTTACTATAAAATACTTCAATGTTGAGTAGTGCTCTAGAAAATTTATGAAGGTACTTGGCATGGCCAGGTGGTTTCGTTAGGAGTTATTTGAGAAGCCTTTGGGGGGAAAGAATGTCAATCTCGGAAGAAGGCTTCAGCTTTTCCATTTTTGAAATTTCCTTTTGACCCTTTGGAAGATTAATGTATCACAGGAGTTAAAACATTCTTATATAAACCCTGCAGAAAGGGGAATTAAGGCATTTTAATCATAGTCATCATTTTGTATTACATGCTTGGAAGATATAAGCTCTTAGTACAAGGTAACAAATAAAATTAGTTTTTTGTATCTGATTAATGAGATATGAGGGAACAGAAACATCATAATAAACGAAAATATGATTAAGATACGAGAGCCGATGTGACGGTAGATTGGTGGTTGTTACTTGTTTGTTGAGCTTGATCACTTGGACAATGAGCTGGTTTATATATGTTTTCTTCCCTTTTCAGGTCTTTGAAGGAGAATTTAACTTTCTTTCAACTGTAATGGAATCCTCGGATGGACTTTATGCTGCAGCAGCAAGCCTGGGAATTGATTTGCAGATATTCTACTCTTACTCACCTGAGTTGACAAATGAAGTTATGGTAAGTTGCATTAAGAGTGCTACCAATATGACAAGGGGTCTGTATCCTAAAATGCCTGATTCGGTAACTCTTGCCGAGTCATTTCTTACGGAATTTCCTGGAATAAATCCTTTGACAGCACACTCTATACTATCTTCAGGGGTCATGCTTAATGAGTTTCTTGAGTGGTCACATGAACAAAGGATACGTGTTTTAGAAAAGTATCATGTTCCAGAAGAAAGTATTTCTCTATTCAGTGTTTTCTGCAGATATGGGGAACGGGAGGATTCAAAATCCATAATGACAGACTGCTCCTCTTCGGTATCTTCTGGTCTGGATTCGGATAGATGTTTATATCAAGTTGAAAATGAACGAAAAAGAAAAAATCATGTAAGTAGTCATGAGATAGATGAACTATGTTTTGATGAATTGTTGCAATTCGAGACATTAAATCAAGTAGTTGAGGCTGTCCCAGATTCCTCTACCTTGCCAAAACCTTTTGATTTTGGTATGTCAAAAAATGTTTGGAGATCCAGTGAAACAGCAAAGGCGAGTTTGTCCATAAGTGAGTTTTTCGGTCAAAGGCAAAGCACCAGTGCGGCTCCAATGAGAAACCTTTCTGGAGTCTCCTATTCATCAGGGAAATGCAAAGTTCCCCAAAAATCAGAGCAACTCAAACAGCCAAGTTTATCTTTGAAAAATAAAGAGTTGGCTCAAAATGAAATACTGGATACTGCTTTAATGGGAAAAAGTGTGAATTGGCGTAGCCTTAGTAATTCTGAGAAGCCGCATGAAGACATTAGAGGAGAGGTTGTGGACTTGACTGTTAGCCCCTTATTTGATAAAAGCTTTGCCATTCCTGATTCCATGTACTTCACTAGTTTGGGGACAGAGACAGAGAAAGATCAGATGAGAAAGAATAAAATTTCAAGGAAATTGTCATTCGATAATTCTAGTCACCTAGAAACCAACTCATCAAAAATATGGAGATCCTTAAAAGATACAATAGGAAAAGTCGACGACTACCCCGAACCAGATTTTGGAGAAGATGTATTTCCTCTTGATTTCAAGCCCCGTGGAAACGTTGGTTTAACTCAGGTATCGATGAGAAACATGGAAGAATTACCCTTCAAGGACGAAATGTCACATTTGGGCGAAACTCCACTCTCATTAGCCCGTCGGTCTGCTAGTCTATTAAAGAATTCCCCCTGGACAACTGAATTTATTAATAAGGTAAAAGAAAAGAGCAAATTGCGTCAAAAATCATTATCATGTGAGAACTCTGGACCGTGTTTTGGGTACCCAGGGAGCGTGGCCAGAGCTTCTAAGAGAAGAAGTCCTTCTGTGATTGATTTCTTTAAGTACCAACCTAATAGAACATCTGGAAATGTTTCGGGACAGAAAAGACAGAAGCAGTCAGGACCCTCTTCAAACTCAGTCAAAAAAGGGAGATATTCCACTTCATCGTGGACTCCTATCGATAAGAAATCAACGAAGGTACGCTTACATTTTATGTTAAAGTGAAAATAACGGGTGCAATACCTAGTGGGTGGGGTTAGGTAGTATGATATTTTAGATTTATTAAATAAATTTTATAAATAATGATAATTATAGTAATTAATTATGATATTTTAGACTTACAATCAAATTCGGTCATTGGCAGACACTGACCTTCGGGAGGAACGGAAGTGGAGGCCAGACAAGGCTGGTCTGGAGTGATAAAAAAAATCCATACCAGGCACAGTAATTCATCATTGGAGAAAAGAATGGAGAATTTATATTATATATACGACGGTAGCTTTAACCTTTTGAAAGGTATTTTGCTTTGAAACCATAGTTACAAAGTAATTCTCATACAAATTAGGTTTCATTACTCAGGTTAATTTCTTCATATAAAGAAACTTCTAATTCAGTTCCTTTCTAGACTTGGTATATATCATCTATACTTTCTATACTGTGCTAGAATGAATCAATGGACTATGGGAGAAAGTGGCTTTAATAATGAAAATGAAGTTCAAAATCAGAACAAGTTAGATACTACACTGGATAGTCTATCTTTGGAGCGAATGGGGAGTTTATATGATGATTGATTTGCGATCTAAGAACCTGTTTAGGGTAGGATTTTTAGTTTTAACGTTACGGTTAAGTTGCATATGATCGTACGTATCTAACAAATAAAAATTGCATAATTGATAAAAAATTTACCCTAAATATTGTTGGTGCTTCTATATTTTTTGTTTTTTTGCCAAAATTATGAGAAATTCTGTAATGTTTTGCTATTCCCAAAATGATGCTAATAGTAATATTACTGCACGCGATTATATTCAACTATGTAAAGTTTTTATTTATTCAAGAACCAAACTGCTTTGAAAATTAGCTTTTCGTATGATAAACAACACAACGCATATCCCTTTTTAATTATTTAAAAAATTGAAATTGGAGCATCTAAAATTAGCCAACAGTTTTTGAAAAGCACTAGTACCACAGTCCACAGCTACTTGGTAGGTTTTCTAGATTCAGTAGCCTTGTTCTTTGACATTTAACAATTTCAATAAAATGTGATTCGGAGCATCATAGGCCTTATTTATAGGCTATATTGTTTGCAATATATGTACACCAAAATTGTTCAAATAGATGATAAATGACAATCCATTTGCTACATAGCCTATCTGAGACCCAAAATTATTGAACTTCGCGGCCCAGCAAATTTAAATGAGAGCAGATGAAAAGACTCGAATGAAGTGAAAAACACTGGTTAAGCTCGATTTTATTCGACCAATATGACCATGATATCCTGTTTGTTTCATAACCCATGTGTATTTTGTGTGGGAGCAATAACGCCTGTAAAGAATTCTAGTTCTTACCATTCCTGAGATTACGTAGTGCCATAACAAGCTGTTGTCTTTCTCCCTCTACCTCAGCGAACTTGAGACTAATCTCTGAATATCTCTCTTCCATTTCTTTCAGCTGAGTTCCCATATATTCGTTCCTTTCCTTTAGTATTGTCACTTCATTAAGATCTGCTTGAGAAGTAAGAAGTTCCCTTGACATCTCTTCATCTGTAAAGAATTGTCAATGTGAACATACAGAGACAAGAGTTGATCTTTGAATAGGAAAGAATGGATCTGCAAAACTTTATTTGTATGACACTCACTTGCATGATCATAATTGAAGAGAATAGCCTCATTTTCCGAGCAAGTTTGCACTACACTGACAGGGTAAAGAGGAGATACTAACATTCAATAAAAATAACATCTTGGATAATATAAAATTGATATCTGATCCTGAAGAACAGAATTTTTATTACAGTATTAATGAATGAAAAGAAGGTTAATGGTTGTGTTCAAGGGAACTGAAGAATGAAGATTCAGAAGGCAGAAAAGAATATGATTTTTACCTAGTATGTGCTGCTAGACAAGCTTTGTTCTCATCTGAATTGCACATCGTTCTTCCTATTACAGACTTGTCAACAGGGGTGTTTGCATCATCCATTCCCTTTGTGTTACAAATATAACAACATTCAAGTTAATGTTGATCAAGTCATCAACTGATGTGTGCAAATCAACCAAAGTAAACTTTAATTAGATGTTCTCCTTTTTTCCTTTTTTTTTAAGGTTACATATTAAGTGCAAGTACGTTGGTAGGAAAAGGGAAAGATGACATAGTGGAGGACAAAACCTCTTATATTAACATAACATCCAAATCTTGAAGACCTCGGCTGGTGCCAATCGAGCTGCAAGCTCATTGGCTAATTGGATATTTCTTTTAGCGAGCATTAAGTTTTAGAATTTGTTTGATTTGTTAAAATTGAGGGATAGGATGGCACCAACAAAAAAATTGTACTTTGTTTGATTTTCAAAATAGTTAAGTATTAGACAGAAAAAACTCAAGGGACAACGCAGAACTCTGGATTATTGTTGCCTACTTAACCAGGGGACAAAATTGTGTTCACAGAACAGAAAAGGGAAAAAGACCTATGACCTCTACTCTTTCAGTTTCTATTGCATGCAAAACAAGCAATGTACTACACAAAATTTATTGCAGTAAACTTTGCCGCCTATCAATTGGAGGAAAGTGCAAAATTTTTAGTCTGGTGCATTGATAATCAGACAGCTAATAACACAGAAAATTATCCCATGACTTAACCACTTTGCGTTGTGGTATCCCCTACTATGAGTCAAGCCCGCCCCTAGAAATCTTCAACTTGTTGACTATGCCTTCTATGGTTGTATCGAGAATTGAAAATGACATCATCATTCCCAAAGCATTAAGGAGAACCACTCCATGGGAAGTATGGCCAAACTGATTATAATGTGTATCTCAGACAATTTCTTTCAGTATGTGTTAATGTCAAATGGTTGTAGTATTAACAATTTATAAGTTTACCAGAAAATGATGATTCACTGGTTTGTTGCAAAATAATTCATTTCAAAAAATTTGCCTATCTGATTGGTCCTAACTTGATTGCTCATTGCTCTTTCCTGTGTAGTGAACTTGTGATTACATGCAACCTGATCCAATATGCAACAGAAATACTAACACTCTTGACTCTTCTAATTCTAAGCATAGGAGCTGGGAAATTACCTTCTGCGTTTCTGATGCAGCACTCTCGTAGTGCCATGAATCCATATTTGAGGCTGTTGCTAGCCCTTTGCTATTATTCATCCTCTTTTCTACAGCACTTAGTTCTTCTTGCTTCTTCTGCAGCTCTCCTTCTAAATGAGATATTTTTTTCTTCATATTTTCTTTCTCTGCTTGTTCCATGTGCAAGTTGTGTTTTAATCCATTATGCTGGGTCTTAAAGATTTCTACTTCTGACATTAGGGTGCCAAGCCTTATCTCCTCATCATTGTTCTCTTGCGTTAACATTGTAGTCATGTACTCAACTGGCTCAGCTTTAGACAGTGTAAGCTCCTCCGCTATCAGCTTTCTAATTTCAATTCTGAGAAATTGAATTTGCTTTGCTAGTGCCTCGTCCTTTTCTACCATGTGCCATTGTACATCTTCAAGTTGTTTGGACTTGGCCTCTAGTTTTTCTGACATCATTTCTATTGTCTTTTCTTTTGAATCTATTTGGTTCAAGAGTTGTTGCAGTTTCAGTTCATTCTGATTTGTAATGAGCCCAAGCTCTTGATTGCATTTCTGGAGCATTTCTTCCGTATGTTTCTTCTGCTTCCGCAATTCATCAGCTTCTGCATAAGCTTCCATGGTCTTCTTTTCGTTTTCTTCTACTTTTAATGTCATTTCAACTGAAAGACTCCTATATTCATCCTGAAAATGCTGACATGTGAGACCATTATCGTGTCTTGTCTTTATCAATGTCTCCTCTGCCTGAATGGCCCGTGCTTCCTGCTCAAGTTTTGCGCATTTCATGGCATGGAAATCTTCTTCAATTTTTTCTGCTTGCTTTTCCAAATCACCAACTCGATTTTCAAGTTCATTGATGTAAAGCAAAGAGTCTGAAAAATCATATGCCTGCTTCTTTATCTTTTCTTCTAATCTCTGTACTTCTGATTCAAGTTGTTCTATAGTTGCCAAAGAAGCTGAATGTTTATTTTGTAAGACAATATGTTGTGCTTCTCCATGTTTTAATCTCAAAGACATATTCAGATTTTCTTTTTTCAGAAGCTCACACTCAAAGTTGAGCTCTTTTATATGATCATTTAGCTCTTCTCGTTGCTTATAATAAATATCTAATTGACCATTCTGGTCTGCAATTTTCTGCTTCAAAGTACCTAATTCTGTGGCATCATGCTCTTTATTGTCCAACAATTCCTTATTCTTTTGCTCCAGCATTGCTTCAAGTTCTCTCACTGCCAAAAGCAGTTCGGAGTTTGAGTTTTGTGTCTTCTGGAGTTGCAATTGAATATTAGAACTAAACTCTTTTTCATGAACAAGCTCTTCCTTTATTGCTTCTAACTTCAGTCTAGCATCTTCAATCTCATTTTGTAAGGCTTTTGAAGTTTTGGTCTTATCATTGACGTTTTGCTGGGACAGGAGTTGCTCATATTTAGTTTTGATCATATTTCTCTCCTCTCTAAGGCTGATTATTTGTCTTGACATACTTTGTCCTCGACTGCATTCCTTCTCCATCAGCTTCTGAAGTGATTGTAACTCTAGTTCTGATGCTTCAACTTTCCTCTTTAGAGAAGCAATTTCACTTTTGAGGTTTTCAGTGACATTATCCGAAGGCTCTTGTAATCTTTCTCGAGGAAGAGTATCTTCCAGGCTGTTTGTCCAGTAATTACCTAAACTCCTATCTGAAGCTGAACCCATGGACCCCCAATGCATATGAACTTTTGTTGCAATGGCCTCGATAGTTCCTGAAGGCATTGAATTCTGCCTCAAGGTGGGTAGTAGCTTGGGAAAATCCTGCCATGAAGTTACCACAGGAGTGATACTATTAGATGCTTTAAAAGTCAGGTTCCCAGATCTGATCTTGGTCTGGTTTCCAACACTTAAGCTATTAATAATTATTAATTACTAAAACTTATAATATAAATTATTTACTTTCTTAATCTATCATAAGAAGGTTCTGTTTAGGAAATTTTCAACTTTGTGCAATAGAAAAAGCTAGTTGTATAAAGCCACGGTGAGACCTTACGTGAACATTATGAGAACCTTCATCTGCACTGCAAATGCTCAGTTGGTGTCTTAAGCTTCCATTTCCATTATCTTCCTCATTTCTGAAAGTGCTGCAACAGGTAAGTAAAAAGAAGTAAAATCGAGAAACAAAAGGAAATATGAAGATGTAAATTAACTGGCTGCATTGTTCATTTTCACCTTTGATCTATATGTACCCCTTCCACATTCTGAATTGTCACCTGTCTCAACATTTTTATTTGAGGAATTATATTTGGTTTTTGTAATCTGATGATATTAAATAATATGGAATATGAATGGAAAGAAAAAGCTCTGATGAAGTCCAGATTTTTAAAGATGAGTAATCATTTGCATGATGTGATGAGAAAGACAAGAAACTAGGTGGAGAGGGAAATACAAGGTACGAACATGTAGGATTGCACCTGAATTGGCAAACTTTAGGGGTAGGGACACAGTAAGTGGCTCAGTTTCTGCAGCAAAATCAGCTAAGTCAATTGAGGATTCCCCAAGAAATCCAGATTTTGAAGATCCCTGCGAGAACCTATTAAGATTAGACTTTCTGGTGAACATCGTAGTCAGGTAAAGGATAGGATGCGATTAAATCTACTGCTTACAGTTGAAACAACAAAATGGTAGATTTTCTCTTGAAGTTTTCCTGATTTTGTGTCCCTGACGAGTTTAACTGATTCAAAAATTGGTTTTTCCCATAGACAGGTTCCATCCTGAACAGAAACTTTCTCTAGTTTCACCTTTGGCTTCCCAACATCATCTGGCACCAAAGCTATCATCACTGTAGACTTTTTCATCTTTGGCACCTGATAAAATAATACATTGGCACGTAATTCCTCAAAATATGAAAGTTATCAAACTCAGTTACCCAAGTATACAATGTAATTCTGTATATAGTTCAGACTTCCTGGCAATATATTGTAACTTTGTAACTACTAGGACAACCTCATTTTGTCATTTAGTATATAATGAATAAATATTTATTTGTCTTCGTTTTACCTGAGTTGCCTGAAACTGCAGTTTGAATACAGCTTTAATCTTGTTCTTCTTGCTCCGTGACTTGAACATGTTTTCTGCTGACAAAATATGGCAGTATGTCTTTATAAGAGGCACCTCATTGATGACTTGGGGGATACTCTGTTGATCTGAAACCTTGTTTTGTGTTTTGTTAGATTCAGTTAACGACTGGAATGAAGTATTTGGATGCTCTGAAAGCAACGAGATGCTAGATGCTGTACTGAACTTGCATGGTTAGCAAGCTGAAAAACATAAAAGAATTTGATATCAAAAAGCTTCCGCCTAAGGCATTCTAAACCAAAGTTTTAACAAAAGACACGAGGAAATAAATAAAGGAGCATAAATGAGACGTATGGTTTTCTTTCGGATTTTACTTTGAGAATAAGGAAGGGGGAAATTTAAAGCGACAAAATTAACCCTGACACTTCTTTATTCTTTTTTGAATTTTTGATGTGCACCCACAGCCGACAGACAAGTGAGTTTTATTTTTCCAACAAAATCTTTTTGTATACTCCTGAGATAAAAAATAATAATAATTAATATGGTTAAAGAATTAGTATTGATGCTTACAAAAATTCCAAGACTTTATCTCTCTTATGATAGATGTTTTCATGTTATTTTAAGTAGGGGTAGGCAAAACGAACTGAACTGAACTTATAAAAACTATACTGAACTTAAAAATAGTTCTCATGAATTGAACTAAACTAAATATTAGTTCAGACGAACTGAACTGAACTATTTTTTTGTGTCATTGAACTGAACTGAACTATACTATAAAAACTTGAACTGAACTGCAATTTAAACTGTACTAAACTGTTATAATATTTTGAATTGAACAATTTTGACCCATTGATCTATCAAAATACGACACATTTGCCAACATTACTTTATTTTCCATTTTATTTAAATTTTTCAAAAAAAAATATATAAAATTAAGTCAAACAAACTCAGTGAATTTTAAGCCTAAAAATAAGTAGTCAAATATAGCTCAATTGATCCGTTAGATTCGACAAAATTGATACAATTTTTTTTGGATCACTTTTTTTTCTAAAATTTTGGTTATTAGACTATCGAGTTAATCCATTAAGACATAGCATGTTAGACACATTTAATTTTTATCCTTTTATAAAAATAGTTCAATTTTAATAATTCAGTTCAGTTTTATAGTTCAGTACAGTTGACTTTCTAACAGTTCAGTTCAGTTAAGTTTTTTTTTAAACAGTTTAGTTCAGTTTTTTTACAAACAGTTCAGCTTTTTATAGTATAGTTCAGTTCAGTTCACTACCACCAGTTCAGTTCAATTTTTTTTACCCACCCCTAATTTTAAGAATGAAAGAATGTGTTTGTTAAAATTAGCCCATAAGACAACTAAAAGTTAAAAATTTAATTAGTTAAAAGAAAAATTGTTCAATTAGATATCCTAAGTTCTAATGAATAATATGGAAATTAATAGAAGGGTTTTAAATATCGTATAAGATTGAAAATAAAAAAGAAAAAGAAAATTACAAAATAACCTCGGTTTGGATGGAAAAAAGTTATCCTTAAGCTACCTAAATCTTGTTAAGAAAATTTAAATTCAAATCTGTTTAAAGAACATTAGGAAAGAAGGCAACTATTTGCCTGCATTAAAGAAGAAAAAAATAATTACTATTATTTTTGTAAGTAGTTTCAAAATAGATTAGTAAACTAAATAGAGAAAATAAATAAGAATTGAGCGGTATAATTTATTTAACAGTATTATAATTTCAATTATAACTTACATAATTATAAATTTACACGTACAGTGTACTGAAGAAATTAGTTTACTTTTATCAATCAATTTTAGTTTTAGTTATGATATCATATATTCAAGTTATAAAACACTCACTTATTATTCGGTCTAATGATGAGATTGTCATCATATATATGAGATTATAGATTTAAATTTCACTATAGTTATCGTACAAAAACAAATGTCCTCTCATTTGTTAATAAAAAAAAGTGTCCTCTCATTTTATTTTATTTTATTAAAATCAACAAGTTTATATTGCGTCAAAACTTCTTGATAATTGTTGGCTTCATTTTCAAACACATGCAATGCTGTTAGGTACAATTGACGTGGAAACGGAAAACCTTGTCCACGCAGCTACAATCAAATTAATAGAGCTGCTTATAGTTGTATGTAACGATCCATATCAGTCTATCATTGATTATTATTAATTAACAGTAGCGACCAAGTATATTGATATGAATTTCTTTTTATTCATAAGAGATATATAAAAGAAAACATATTCCAACACAACAACATGTACATACTGTCTAACTTATGCAATTATATTAATATCGAGTCAAATAATGTTTGATGATTTACTATGATTTTATCAACGAACCAAACATATTTCTGTCTTGTGTAAATATTTAATTTATTTTAACACTATATATTATATTAAGGTTAAATATTTTGATGGGTCTTTTAATTTTTTTAAAAATTTCATTAAATTTTTAAACTAAAAAATTATAATTATATCTTGATCTTTTATAAATTTTATAATTACATTAAAGTTAGTAAAATCGCTACAAATTATTAATTTTGTGGTGGTTTGAAGCAACAATAAATTAACTCCAAAAACTTACAAAAGTTATAGAAAATTAAGTCAATTACAATTTTCTTAAAATGTGGAATAATGAGAAATTATCAAACTAGGCAAGAAATTATCGCTGTTTAATTTTATACTAATTCTCAATGTTATTTTAGAAATCTCTTTTCTTGTTTAGACATAGAGTCACAACTGAAATTCCTATAAAAACCGTTCAATAATAATGAATTATAACTCTATATCAAATACAAATAAAACTATGTAGATACTTCTTTTAATAGAACTTCAAATTTTTGTTCGTCACTTTGAAGTTTAGTCTCTTTTACTTGGTAAAATATGGTTGATATTATAATAATTCTCTACTTTGACAGTGAGATTTTTATCATACTCTCAATTAAATATTCTCTGCACTATATTTCTATTGAAGGCATATTTCACACAATTAAAAAAAATTATCTTTTAAATTTTCAATCATCATAATTATTATTTTATTTGTATATTTAACTTTTTTTTTATCTATTTAAATTTTAAATTTTTATATCATTATTAAAATTATTTGTTATAAATTTAAAATATATTTATATAATTGAAATATTGATTTATTATAAATTTTAATCGCATATAAATAAACACTTATCCCATAAAACTAAATACAAGTTATAATTAATATAGCCACTCGCCTGCAAGCATCATTGTCAAGCTTTTTAAAATTGGATTTGGAACTTATCCTTACTCTTTCGCCTATATCAATCATTCATCCTCTTTTTCTTTCTTTATCGTTCCCTTTAAATGGATATAAGTTTTCTTTTCATTTTTAAACCTCCATTTTTGGTTCCTTGTCTAAAGAAATTATCCCATATATTTCTCCATATTGTAACCTCATTTCTATCATTGTCCAGCCCTTGCAGTGTTGCATAATGAATGATGATGACAATTTCCATCAAATTAAAAAGTTAAATAAACTTTCCGAAAGCAATCAAATTATGGTTATGAACATGGACCGTGAGATCAGAGGTCAAGGGTTTATTTATACATAATGAATATATTCAATCCAAGTTCTTTAACAAATTAATGCTAGAAATATTTTTTTTTAATATTTTATTAAGTGAAATTATATGTAAACCTTATTAAGTATTGTAGGGTACCTATATCGGTTCTCCATTTGATAAGTAAAATTAGACATTTATTATGATTTTATAACTCACAAAATGTAGTCAATAATATTTGATTTGAAGATTTCTAATAATTTAATATATTATTAACTTCTTAACGATGAAAGTGTCATCCTTCCTTTCTATCATTTAATTCATATGTAAACCTTGTTAATAAAAATATTTGTGATATTTCAATTTATTTTAAAATATATTTTTGTATTAGGATTGTGATATTTATTCTTACTTAAAAGAAAAACACTAATAAGACAGTAAAAATATGTTTTAGTCAAAATAATTATAAAATTATTATTATTTAATATCATTTCAAGTTTTTGTGAAATTCTTCAAACAATTTTACACTCTCATGCTATAATCTATTTTCTATTTTCTCAATGTGTAATACTTAATTTAAAATGGATAATATAATTGTAACTTTTAATAAGATCCTGTTAGTGAATATCTCAACGACATTGCTTAAACAATTATTAAATAAAATATTAAAATTACGAAGTATCGGGAAAAAAAATATTGACAGCAAAAAGATGTATAGAAAATAGAAATCATGATAAGAATACATTAGTAGTAACTCTAATAGTGTGATTTAGCGGTATGGGTAGATTCATTCTTAAGCAAGGTCAGGCTTCAATCCAACGTAGTGAGGATATTAGTCACTGTCCTAGATATGCCAGGGACAAACAGAAAAAAAAAATACATTAATAGTAATAGTTTCAGTTATATATATATATATA